CCCCAGGGGGGATGGTCACGCCGCAATCCCTTCTCCTCCATTCTCCTCTCAGGATCTTGGGCACACACGCACACACGCCCGGCGTGAGTTTTAAGCGACCGGGTCCGGGACATGAACCGCGGTCGACTACGTGGGAGTCCAGCGACATAGCCATTACACTAACTGCTGGTTCCCTCCTCGTTTTGTTTTGAAATATTTTATTTAACTTTCTTTATCCATTTATTTATTTATTTCCATTTGACCGGAGAGGGACAGAGAAAGAGAGAGAACATAAGAAAGCAAGCCACCAGGTCCAGAACCCGAACTGTGGTAGGCCACGTGGGAGTCCAGCGCCCCAACCACCACGCCACCTGCCACCCCTCTTTACTTAGTGTTTCTGCTTCTAGTTACAAGCTGGAAAGGCTGCAGCCTCAGCTCCCTCAAAAACCGTCTTCCATTCCCATCTACAGCTCACGGGGAACCTTCAGCCCTGGGCCAGGCACCTGGCTCCTACCTGGTTATAGGCCACGCCCCTCCACCGGCTCTGCCAGCTGGGTCAGAAGGAGCTGACTGCTCTCTCTCTCTCTCTCTCTCTCTCTCTCTCTTTTTTTAGTTTTTGCTATAAAGCCATGCGTTCACCAGCTAAAAAAAGAGAGAGAGGCAGGGGGGAGTGAGAAATCACCGCTAGTGAGGGTGGCCATGCCATAGTCCCTTCTCCCCCGTTTTTTTTTCTCAGGATTTTGGGCACATGCATATGTATCCTGCATGATTTTCAAACTACCAGGTCCAGGACTTGAACCACACAGTTGGCCATACATGGGACCCAGCCCCCATTCCCTCCATGCCACTTATTGGCCCAGATTGCCTTTTCCTTTGTGTCTCTGTTTTGTTTCCGTTCTTTATTATCTTCATTGTTTTCTTTTGTTTTTAATGTTTATTTCTTTTTTTAAAAAATATTTAATATTCTTATCATTATCTTTTTTTTTTTTTTGAGAGGTTTTTGCTATAGGGTGCGTGCACTCGCCAGAAAGACAGAGAGAGAGACAGAGAGACAGAAAGTGAGAAATCACCCCCCAGGGGGATGGCCATGCCGCAATCCCTTCTCCTCTCGGGATCTTGGGCACGCACGCACACGCACCTGGCGTGCGTTTAAGCCACTGGGTCCAGGGCTCGAACTGTGGTCGACTACATGGGAGTCCAGCTACATAGCTATTATACCAACTGCTGATCCCAAACCTATCATGATCATTTCTTAATTTGCTGTAGGGGACATGCTCTCACCAGAGAGAGACTGAGAGCGAGAGAGAGAAAGAGGGAAAGTAAGAAAGCAAGCTAAGTCTAGGACTCTAACCATGGTCGAAGTTTATTTCTTTATTCCATGAGCTAGAGAGACAGAAAGAGAGAGATGCAGACTGATAGGGGCCTCACGCCGCATCCACCCAAAACGGCTACCAGCCCTGCATCGTGGGCACACACCTGCCGTGTTCTGGGAGGTCTTTCGATGTGAACCTTGAACCTCCCTGTGTGGACCGCCTTAAAGAGCACAGCACAGGCCCAGACCTCACTGCTGTCTAGCCCTGTGTCTTTATTTTGGGGCATCGAAAGAGGGCTTTGTCAGGAAGCCGGGGTTCAGGGTTGGCTTCATTATCCGTCTCCCTGAGTTAGCGTATTTCTGGAGTGTGAACTGCAATTCAGCCTGGTGGTGTAACCGGTGCCAAACCGAATGCAGTACCAGAGGCCACGTGGCTGACACGGGGGCAGTTCCTTGGACTGGCCTGAAGACACACCAGGCAAGCATGCGTGCCCAAGATCCTGACAAGTGCAGGGCTAGGAAAGACGGGTCACGGCATGATGGCACTTGTCAAGGGTGCTTCTCTCCCCCCCCACACACACATATGCACTCCCAATCACAAATCAATACAGCTTAAGAAAAGAAAAAGAATATGCAGCCTGGCAGTTAAGGTGCTGGGCTCCCCCATGGCCAACTGTGGTTCAGGGCCTAGGCGCGGCATTGAAGATCACACTGTGCGTGAGTGCATGCATTCCCAAAGCCCCTAGAGGAGAATTGAGGAGAAGGGATTACAGCATGGCCAAACTCCCTGGGGGTGATATCTCACTTTCTCTTTGTGTCTCTGGTGAGCACACATGCCCTATAGCAAAAAACTTTAAAGAAAAAAATGTGGGGACCAGCAATAAGCATAATGGCTATGTCGTTGGACTTCCATGTAGTCGACCGTGGTTCGAGTCGTGGACCCGGTGGCTTAAATTCACGCCAGGTGCGTATGCAATTTGTGCCCAAGATCTTGAGAGGAAACTGGAGAAGGGATTGCAGTGTGGTCATCCCCCCGGAGGGTGATTTCTCGCTTTCTGTCTCTCTGTGTCTTTCTGTCTTTCTGGTATGCTTACATGCCCTATAGCAAAAACCTCTACAAAAAGAAAAAGAAAAGAAAAAATATGAACCAGGCATTCTTTCTCAGGGTCCTGCTTCACCCTGCACCATGCATCCTTTTGATGTCTCGTTCTAGATCTCATCATTGAAAACACAAATCCAGTCTCAGGAGTCTGACTTAAAGTCCCAGGAAGATGACCTGAACCGGGCCAAGTCGGAGCTGAACCGATTGCAGCAGGAAGAGACCCAGCTAGAACAGAGCATCCAGGCCGGGCGCGTCCAGCTGGAGACCATCATCAAATCTCTGAAATCCACACAGGACGAGATCAACCAGGTATTCCCACAGAGGTGGTCTCCCACAGTCTCAAGTAGGGCACCGCCGAGAGCAGCCCTGTCAGCACTTTGGTCCGTTCTCCATTGCAAATAGCAGAATTCTGCAGACTGGGTAATTTTTAAAGAGGTTTATTGCACTCACGATTCTGGAGGGACTCTACAGAGCACAAGTTCTTCTTTCCTTTTTTTTTTTTTTAAGAGATTTTGCTATAGGGCACATGTGTTTGCTGGAGAGATAGAGACAGAGAGACAGGAAGTGAGAAATCACCCCTCCAGGAGTATGACCACACCACAATCCCTTCTCCTCCAATCTCCTCTCAGGATTTTGGGCACACGCACGCGCGTGCCCAGCATGAATTTTAAGCTGCTGGGTCCGGAACTCAAACCAAAGTGCCTGCGTGGGAGTCCAGCGATATAACCATTATGCCATCTGCTGGTCCCCCTGTTTGTTTGTTTTTATTGGATACATACTAAGTGTACATTTTGTGGGGTACAGCGTGATTTTCATGGATCTGGATTTTGTCCGATTTTGACACATGTCCAAATTACATGTGCTTCTTTTGAGCCAGAGCACCTAACGAAGGGAGAAGATCATGAGCTAGTTTACAAGGGGTTTCCTTTCTTTTCTTTCTTAAATGACTTATTTTATTTTATTTATTCATTCATTTATTTTAATTTGACCATTGAGAGAGAAAGAGAGAGAGAGAGTGAGAAAGCAAGCTACCAGGTCCAGGATTCAAACTGTGGTCAACCATGTGGGAGTGCCTAGCGCCTTACCCACCACGCCACCTGCTGGCCTCAACATGGGGCTTCCTTTCTGTCTGGCGACACAGATCACGGGCTCGTTCTTGTGAATAGCCGAGTGGAGCCTCAGGAGCCATCGCATCCTGGGCCCAACGCGTTGTCCCAGCCCTCCTTGATGCCGGTGGTCTTTGTCCCGCAGGCAAGAAGCAAACTCTCCCAGCTCCACGACAGCCGCCAGGAGGCCCACAGAAGCCTGGAGCAGCTCGACGGGGTGCACGGCGCCAGCCTGCCGGACCTGACCAACCTGGGCGAAGGCGTGTCCCTGGCGGAGAGGGGCGGCTTTGGAGCCATGGTAAAGGTCGAATAAACGTGTTACGGTCCCGGGATCCAGTCCCGGTGCATGAAGAGACGGTGCTTCACCTGCCGGATCGGCCGTGGCCAGCCTTGGTGCTCTGCAAACTCGGGCAGTTTCTAATTCTGGCTGTCACCTGGCATGTTCTTACCAGCCTGGCAGCCTGAGGCAGGTGGCCGAGAGCCATCCTAGAGTCCAGAGCAAAGCCCAAGACAGACCCGAGTCCTTGCGAACCTTTTTTTCCTTCCTTTAAGGGGAAGGTAGGAAAAGAGAGAGAGAGAGGTGGGTTATTTCTGGCAGGGTCTGTGTTAAAGTCATTGAGCCCATGTTGATAACTTTATTAACCAAAGCCCAGGGTTTACAGTAGGGTTTACTGTGTATGTTACATATTCTGTGAATTGCGACAAAGCCGTAACTTTGTATAGCCACCATTAGAGGATTCTCCAGAATAACGCCTCCGTCCTAAGAATGCCCCATGCTCCATCTCTTCATCCCTCCCTCTCTCCCTTCCTCCCCCGACTCCCAGCAACCAGAATGCCCTTTTTACTGTTTCCGGTTTAGGATTTTCGCAAATGGTGTATAGTTGGGTTATACAGAATGTAGTCTTTTCTGACCAGCTTCTTTCACTTACCAATATGCACCTAAGGTTCCTCCATTTCCCCCCCCTACTTTGAGAGAGAGACAGGGAGAGACAGAGAAGTATTTTTGACAGGGTCTCACAGTATCTCGCTCCTCCTGCCCCAGCCTCCCGATTATCTCGTGTTGCAGGTGCATGCACTGGCACCCAGCATGTTCAGCTTGGCCTAGGAACCGAACCCAGGCCTTCCATACAGCTTGCAGACTCCCAAACCGTCGTGCTACCTCAGCCCTCACACGGTGGGGCCGTAAAACTCCTTTTGAAAGCCCTCCATTTCCATGGAAACATTCATGTTGGACCAGCCCTCCAGAGTCAGAGGGCTTCGCAAACGTCACCAAAATGGCATCCCCCAGTTCACTGAGTGTGGCAATGCCACGTCCTGCTAGTCTCGCGACTGTGTGTTCTCGCGAGGAGCGCTTTGCAAGTCGAACTTGTTGATCAAGATCAGTGGCAGGTGGCCCAAAGCAGCAGCGTTTAGACCCACAGTCACCCTCGCTCCTTAAATTCAGTCCCGTTGAAAACCTCAGCACCGGGACCAACAGATGGCCTCATGGTCACATCACTGGACTCCCATGTAGTCGACCCCGTCCGAGTCCTGAACCCAGTGGCTTAAACTCATGCCAGGCATGTGTGCATGCGTGCCAAGATCCTGAGAGGAAAATGGAGGAGAAGGAATTGTGGCACGGCCATCCCCTCTTGATGGGGGCGGGGGGGGGTGATTTCTCGCCTTCTCTGTCTCTCCAGCGCGCGCTTGCACCCTATAGCAAAAATTGCTCTTAATTTTTAATAAAGAAAAAGAAAACCTTGGCACTTTATCTCAGACCCGATGGACCCTGGTGCTCGATCCATCCCGGGGCTGTTTAGATTTCTGTGGGATCTCAGATCACTGATAGCCAGACAGGCGTGACCTTTTCCTTACCCTGTCACACCCCTCCCCTACTCGCAGGTTCACACTGAAGTTTGCCCTCACGGCCCCGAGCACAGGGACATGCACCGTCCAATTTTGTCTGGCCAATGAGCGCCTCTTTGTGCTGGAGGGGAGCGAGGGGTCCCTTGGGCTATGCCTGGTCCCGATGTCTTCCTGAGGCTTTGCTGCCCATAACAGCTCCCCTCGCACTACCCGCTGTCTTCCGCGGCTCCGCCTGGAGCTCCCCTTCCACCTCGACAATCCACCTGTTTGCTGCGTGGATTGTTTTTGTGTCTTAGAACTCTACAGGCTTACTGTCTCGTAAATGCCAGACTCACCGCTTCCTCTTCATGTTCTTTCTTTGACGTTCCTTTTCTCAGTAGTTAAGCGCTCCATTCTAAAAACGTGTGGGGAAGTGGCCAGCAGGTTTGGTGGTGGGGAAAGTCGTCGGATTCCCACATGGTGGCCCACAGTTCGAGTCCCCGACCCGGCAGCTTGCTTTCTTGCATTCCCTTTCTCTTTCTCTCTCTCCCTGGTCAAATTTTAAAAAAGAATAGCAACAAATAGAATTAAGTAAATAGGGGACCAGCAGTTAGCGTAATGGCTCTGTCGCTGGACTCCCACGTAGTCGACCGCAGTTCGCGTCCTGGACCCGGTGGCTTAAAACTCACACCGGGCGCGCGTGCGTGTGTGCCCAAGATCCCGAGAGGAGAATGGAGGAGAAGGGATTGCGGCGTGGCCATCCCCCTGGGGGGGGATATCTCGCTCTCTGTCTCTCTCTTTCTGGCGAGAGCACGTGCCCTATAGCGAAAACCTCTCAAAAAAACAAACACACAAACAAACAAAAAAGAATTAAGTAAATAATTCTTTAAAAATAAAAAAAAGTCTGGGGACGCACACGCCTCTCCTGGGTCGCTTAGAAAACCTCGCCAGTGCCTTCATCTGACCGGTGCCCTCGTCTGACCGGTGCCCTCATCTGACCAGGTCTCTGGGCCGGTGCCCTCGTCTGACCAGGTCTCTGGGCCTGCCAGGCACGCCGCTACCTCCTTCTCCCATACCCAGATTTTCTGTCCCTACGCACTTAGGAATGGGTGAATTCCGGACCCCCTTGGGCCTGTCAGCTGCTTTACTGTCTCCGTCCGAACAGCGTGCTGTCATCCGTTACGAGTCACGGCAGCCAGAATGGCTTTGCCCTGGCCTCGGGCTCTTCTCGGCGTGTGTGTTTCTGCCTCCCGACCCTGCTCTTCACTTCCCCATCTGGCGCCGTCGCCCTCTTGCAGCTTTCGGCTTGCCCTGTGTGGTCTTGGTTTAGGGAACAGCTCTCTCTTAAACATCCCATTCCCTGGTTTCCCTCAATAAAAGTCGGCCAATAGGTGTCATGGTGGCTAAGGCGCTGGACTCCCACACGGTCACCCGCGGTTTGAGTCCTGGGCCTGGCAGCTTGAAACTCACGCCAGGTGCATGTGCGTGCATGCCCAGATTTTCCAAAAGGAGAAGGGATTGTGGTGTGGCCATTCCCTCAGGAGGTGATTTCTCTTTCCTTCTCTCTCTCCTGCAAGTGTAGACACCCCCTATGGCAAAAACCTAAAAAAAAAGGCACACGCACTCGGTGTGTTTCTCAAAGCCACTAGCACTTGAAGCATGCCCTCAGCAAGGTGTATCCAGCTGCCTTACCCACCAGGCCACGGAGCCGGCCCACAACCACAGACTTCTATCTTTCTTGTTTGTGTTCTTGTAAGCGGGGCAAAGTTTACATACTAGTCGATTATTCTTAGAATGTAGACATCAGCTATGTTAACGGTAAGCTTCCAACCAGTGTCTGGAAGAAAAACCTCTATTTATCTCGTTGTACAAATACAGTTTTTAAAGCATTGTTCTGGTTTGTTTCTGTTTCTTAATAAACACTTTGAAGAGGGCTTTTGGTCATTTGAACATTTGAACATTTCAAGACTGCTCCAGAGCAGAGAGAGAAAGCCGTCCTCGTTCTCTTTGTCGGGCGAAGGGGGGAAGATAGCGTGACTAGAGTGGTGCATCTAGAACTTTCTATGTCTGGACAGTTCTCCTCAAGTTATCGTTAAGCTCAAACCATGTCACTTTGTTCAAGAGACACAGGATTCTTAAAGCCATAGTTATTTCTTGTCTCTCATCTGATTAGAATATTGGTCTTTTGCCCGGTATCCAACCAACCTGTCTAGTAGAGAGAAGGTAAAAATAAAATCTTCCCACTGAAGCTACAGTGACAACTCATCATGAAAGATGGGGTCCTTTGTCATAGCTAGCCCCACCGACAAGCTCGAGCCAGTTCCGATTTACTCTCCAGAGCCCATTATCACATAGGAACTTGTAGGCGGGTTGTTAAATCCTTGCAATCAAGATGGTGGGAGTGTTTACACCACAGGAATTGGCAGAAGCGCCACATCAGGGATTTTTTTTTTTCCCTCAGAAAACTGATCTGTCAATTCATCCCTGCCCTGCGTCTTCTAAAAGGGAAAGAATGTCACAGAAATTTCCTCAGCATCCTCTCAGACTTGCCATGTATCTATGCCTTAGAAAAGGTGACATTTAAGATGAGTTCTAAATTTGTCGTTCACGATAGTTTCTCTCTACGAGAGGGGACCGGATCACTTGTCCCGGTACTTAACTGGTGCATTCACGTCCCACAAGTGGGCGGATGGGTCAGTCCTCCTTCGTAGGTGGTCAGCGGGCGGGAGAGTCCATGGCAGCTATGTGATGGGGAAATCTAGTGTTCTGCTCTGAATCTGTGACACAGAATCAAAGCCGCCATTAGTTACTACGGCCATCCAAAGCCTGCCAGTGCTTTCTTAGGCTTCCCCTTTGAAGGGGAAGGAGTGATTTCTGCCTCAGGAAGATCATTCCTCCTGAGCGTGATCGCAGGCCTGACTGTCACTGCAGGGGCCTTGCACCCAGAGTCCTAAAGAAGGGAGAAGGATCATGAGCTGTCTATTTTTTTTTTTTTTTTGAGAAGTTTTTGCTATGGGGCGCGTGTGCTCGACAGAGAGAGACAGACAAAGACAGAGAGACAGAAAGTGAGAAATCCCCCCCCCCAGGGGGGATGGCCACACCACAATCCTTTCTCCTCCATTCTCCTCTCAGGATCTTAGGCACGCACGCACATGCGCCCAGCGTGAGTTTAGGCCACCGGATCCAGGACTCAAACCACGGTCAGCTACATGCGAGTCCAGCGAAGTAGCCATTACACCAACTGCGGGTCCCATTGTGCTGTCATCCTTGACTCACTGTTTTATCCCGGCCGTCCTCTCTGTCCTAGAACAGCCCTGTGGTACCTCGTGAGAGGGTGATGCTCCACCCTCCCTCCTGGCCTCCTTCCTCCCGCGCCAGTATTTGTCAGTATCCGAGAACCCCCTCGGATGCTCCGGGGCGCGCGCGTGCCCCTGTGGTCGTGAGCACCGTGACGTCCACGCAAACTCCCAGAGCTGTCACCAGATGTTCCCGCAGGCATCTGGACGCACCGGGCCTAAGATCCCTGCTGGGTTTCCACACCTGGGGAAGCCCTGTGCTCAGAGGCTCCAGGTGACCTTCTCGTCCAGGTAAGACCATCGCTCCGTATCCCTCCGATGGCGGAGACACCGGTGCACTCTTCCGAAGCTGGCTTAAGGGGCGGCTTGTATCCCCGCTCACCCTCATTCACAGCCTGGCTTCCTTTTAGGCCAGAACCTCTGAAAACCATCCTAGCCCTCCTTGCCCATCCCAGGGCCTTGTTCACACGGCCTTGTTCAGAGGTCGCCTTTTGGGTCCGGACTGTTGCCGTCTTTGCCTCACACCACACCACTGTCGCTTTTCCGTTATTTGGTTTTGGTCGGATGGGGATACTGGATAGGTTTCCCGGGCCCATGGATACTGAGATCTTTGCCAAGTTCAGAGAGGATGTGCTGCCTTTTCAAAACTTCACAGGAAAGCATTTGTGTTTTCACTGAGGGCAGGTCTTCATTAACCAAAACGGACTCCTTTGTCTCCAAACCAACTATATTATTCCCATGTACCTGGAAACATCAGAAAGTTTATTTAGGTGCCAAAAAAAAAAAAAAAAAAAGAGAAATGCACACATAGCTTTTCTTTTTTTTTTTTTTTAGAGGTTTTTGCTATAGGGCGCGTGTGTTCACCAGAGAGACAGAGAGACAGAAAGTGAGAAATCACCCCCCAGGGGGGATGGCCATGCCGCAGTCCCTTCTCCTCCATTCTCCTCTCGGGATTTTGGGCACGCACGCACACGCGCCCGGCGTGAGTTTAAGCCACCAGATCCGGGACTCGAACCACGGTTGACTACATGCGAGTCCAGCGACATAGCCATTACGCTAACTGCTGGTCCCCACACATAGCTTTTTTTTTTTTTTTTTTTTGCCATAGGGTATGTGCAGTTGCCAAGAGAGAGACAGAGACAGTGAGAAAGAGAAAAATCATCCCCCAGGGAGGATGGCTTGTCTAATTGCCGCACTCCTGTCTCCTCCATTCTCCTCCTAGAATTTATGCATGCACATGTGCCCAGAGTGGTTTTCAAGCTGCCAGGTCTGGGATTTGAACTGCAGTCGACCATGTGGGAGTCCAACACCTTAACCACTATGCCACCTGTTAGCCCCATAAGCTTGTTTGGTTTTTTAGAGTTTTTTTTGTTATAGAGTGTGTGCGCTCACCAGAGAGACAGGAAGAAATCACCCAGGGGTGATGGCCACACCACAGTCCTTTCTCCTCCATCCTCCTCTTGGGATTTTAGGCACACACACACACACACACACATGCATCCCACATGAGTTTCAAACCACCATATCTGGGACTCGAACCATGGTCAGCCATGTGGGAGTCCAGCAACATAACCGCTATGCCATCTGCTGGTCCCCCAACTTCATTTTTTTTTTTTTTTTAACTTTTTTTTTTTGAGAGGTTTTCGCTATAGGACGTGTGCGCTCGCCAGACAGAGAGAGACAGAGAGACAGAAAGCGAGAAATCACCCCCCATGGGGGATGGTCACGCCGCAATCCCTTCTCCTCCATTCTCCTCTCGGGATCTTGGGCACGCACGCACATGCGCCCGGTGTGAGTTCTAAGCCACCGGGTCCAGGACGCGAACCGCGGTCGACTACGTGGGAATCCAGCGACATAGCCATTACGCTAACTGCTGGTTCCCATCCCCCAGCTTGTTTTTAAAATTGACATTAGGTCATTGGAAAAGTTTTTCTATGCAAAAATGTGTTATGACTTATCTGATGACCCAGTATTTTTTCCATGAGTGAGAGAGACAGGCGTCCCTAACAGGGTCCTGACGTCCCCAGTCCACCCCAGCGACAGTAGCCCCAGATCCTGGGCACACGCATGCCTGGGGTACGCAGGGAGGTCTCCACACACAAACTGGAGCCCTCCCAGGCGGATCAACCTTGAAGAGTGACCATTTTACCTACGTGTCACCACCTGTTGCTCTCCATGAACTTTTTGAAGATCCCTCAGGGAACCAGCAGTTAGCGTAATGGCTATGTCTCTGGACTCCCATGTAGCTGACGGCGGTTCGAGTCCCGGACCCAGTGGCTTAAACTCATGCCAGGCGCATGTGCGTGCGTGCCCAAGATCCCGAGAAGAGAATGGAGGAGAAGGGATTGTGGCATGGCCATCCCCCCTGGGGGGTGATTTCTCGCTTTCTGTCTCTCTGCCTCTGTCTCTGTCTTTCTGGCGAACGCACACGCCCTATAGCAAAAACCTCTCAAACAAAAAAAAGAAAAAGAAAAAGACCCCTCAGGCCATTTTTCACAATGTGAAAAAACAGCTCTTTGGAAGTAAAAATGTCTTGCTTCTGGTTTACATATGAGTGTTTCTAGAAATAAGCACCTTAAAAAAAAAATGCAAAATTCTGAACATGCTCTAGTAGTTCTAACTGCATAATCCTCATTTCCTCACAGGGCATAAACAGCCGGTGCGTTTCTCGGTGGGGAAACTACATTTTTTAAAAAAAAGAATTTTTTTTTTATTTATTTAACTTGATTTATTTACTTATTTTAATTTGATCAGAGAGGAACAGAGAGAAAGAGAGAGAGGAAGTGAGAAAGTAAGCCGCCAGGTCCAGGACTCGAACCGCAGTCGGCCATGTGGGAGTCCAGCACCCTTAACCACCGTGCCACCTGCTGACCCCAGTTTTTTTTTTTTTTCCAAGATTTTTGCCATAACTTATGTGCTCTTGCTGGAGAGAGACAGAGACAGACAGTGGAAGGAAAGTGAGAAATCACCTCCCAGGGAGGATGGCAATACTTCAATCCTTTCTCCTCCATTCTCTCCTGGGGTTTTTTGGGCACATATGCACCTGTGCCCAGCGTGATTTTCATACTGCCAAGTATGGGACTCAAACTGCAGTCAGCCGTGTGGGAGTCCAGCCATAACCACCGCGCTGCCTGCTGACCCCACAGTTTTTTTTAAAGACTGAATAGTATTCCAGTGTATGGATATACTAATTTTTTTAAATTCATTCATCCATCAGTGGATATTTGGGTTGCTTCCATGCAGTGGTTTTTTTTTTTTTTTTTTGGGGGGGTTTTTGTTTATGGGGCCTTCGCTCCCC